GGATCTCACAGTAATGGAGTCTACCTCTACTGTTAATGCATCTGAGCGTCCTTTCAGGCGAATGTAATACATCGCTGAATATCCTGACTGAACTACATACCGAATTAGCCTCGATTCAATGTATCGAGGATAATTCAGTATCAAGTCCCAGCTATAGGCCAAGCGTCGTGGCAGCTACTACACTGTAGCAACTACAGCCACAGTTGCTGTGAGAAAGGTCACCGCTCACGGAAACCATCGCCACATCTTCCATCATTACACACTGAGGGTTGGGTTCAGGAAGGGTTACCCTCATTACTATTGAGTATAATTCGTTGCCCAACGTCCTTCTCAAAAGAGGGGGGTAAGGGTCACATGAGGTCTCTGAAGGATGTCGTATCTCGATTTCTTCAGTTAAATTTCTTAGATTAATCTTCATGTTACAAGATGAGTTGGACTTCGTTGACCCAACCACTTTCATGTTGGGCGACAAGTGGTCCAATTTCAGTCTCCCCTCGTCGAAGACATTTGCTGTTTTGACCCTCCTTGGTTTCATTTTTTCTTGCAGCCTCTGTACCTTCCACTTCCTCACACGGAAGGAACGTGCGATGCATAAAGGAACATCGGAGGGCTTTGACCCGCTATCTGATGCTGAGAAGGGGTCGTCTCCCGATGGGACGAATTTGAAGCCGAGATATCCAGCGGTGGACTATCTCAGAGGAATTACCATACTATTCGTTGTTACATTCCACTTGATCTGGGTACTCGCTGATTTTGAGATCATTCCTGACTTCCCCGATGTGGCTGGTTATAATCTACCGATCACAAACTACTTGTATTTCTTGGCCTTCTACAGCGTATCATTCTTCTGGGGGAATCTCAGCCGCCTCATCCATCCGTGTATCCAATACTTACTGTAAGAATGTCATCTGTAGTGGAACGTTGTTCATTCGACAAGTCAACTTCAGATTCCCCGTCGTCACTCTATCGTGCATTTACATGCTATGTTGGGAATCAGAGAGATCCGGTGTGTGCACGATAATGCTCTGCGTCGGACTATCCCTGGCGATAGTCCACGAGGATCGAATAAAATGGAGAAACCTCATCATTAGAACACTCAAGCTGGGAGTAGCAGCAGGGATTATAAGCGCCCTAACGTAATCACGCTTACGAGCATCATTTGGTTGTTCTTGTCATTACTCGTGATAGGTATATCTTCATTCCCACATCTCCCATATACTTCGGTGCCATCCACTGCATAACGCTCAATACCCTTCTCACAATGATCTTCATCAGAGTAAGTTGAGCCTCCCCTTAAGATGATACTGCCTCTTCTGCTCGACGGATCTTCCATCATATTCCCATCACCATCGTATCCTCT